ATTTGTGCAATTGAATCATATGAGTCTAAGTCTTTTTATTCGTTGATAATATTTGAATGTTGACCCACGTTTAGTTCAGGGCATGGCCATCCCAGTACGAAGGAGCTTTCTCCAAATTCAAAACTGGGATTTACAAAGTGCGGAATTATTATTTTATTATTTTTATTTAATAGGTAATTATTACAGACAAATTAGCTTTCTTGATCCTATGGGGCTAGGCCGAAGGCCTTTAAGCCATTACAATACCTACATCCTTTCGCGTTCTAATCTTTCGAATTCTGGTATTCACCCCAAATGGTCTCTCCATCGCATCAAAGCCGCGGAAAAGAGACCACAAGGTACGGCTCAGGAAAAAAACCCTGAAGGGGGAAAACCTGCCGTCAGAAGCCGAGTACATTTTAATCTATCCGACGTTTATTTTAGCTATTTTATTTTCTGGCGCGGGCGTCCCGCCGTCTCCTTCCGTGTGCGGAATTATTGCAATAATAAGTCCTTAAGGATTTTCGTAAAATCCGAATTAATATTCTAGCACAAAATAAATACTTCTACGATGTGAATTTATTATGATGACTGTTTTTAAGTGATTCGTCAACGCAAGGATGAGAGACTGACTCATGACCTACGGACTTTCGAGGAACGTCACTGCCTATCTCTTGTTTTGAGCCACAATAAAGATAATATCATAAGTGTACAATGACACATGCATGGCAACTTCTGTGTTGGTAGTCTTCGGGTTTTCATCTGAACTCACATTTCATACCATGCAAGGTAAATAATATTTTTTTTTATGTTTTGGCAAATGCCGGAGATTTTAAACCGCACCAACAAAAATCGTCATGAATAAATATTTGTATGAAGGTTTGAAGAAGGCATGAAACAGTGCGGCATTGTCGAAATTTCATGTTAATTTCATTCCAAATAAAGAGTTATTAAAATTCAGGATTTATAATACCATTTGCCAAAGCGTTTAAGAGTCAAATCATAACTCAACCACTATAGTTGAAATTGCGTTCAACAAAATTAATTTTTCTCCTTTTACTATGCTGCACACCAAATATCATTGAAAGCAATAAACAAGAATAATTTTTGGAGTGACTTCAAGTTTCACATTGTTGATTTAATTTAGTAAAATACCAAACTCTAATTAAATATTGTTCAGAATAGTTTTTCCGAAGAGAAAGGCATTTCCTATGAAAGCAGTTAACGTGATTATAGCAATAGGTAAAATGCCTTGCTTCTTTTACTGTAGTTGTAAAGTACAGGTATTTGATAATAACTGGCAAATGCATAAAAGTATGAAAGATGACCACGAAATTTAAGGTAAGTACTTGTGGCTTCAGCATAAAAACACAAAAATGCAAACAATGATGACGAAACAGAGGTATCAGATGACACCCACAATGTTACGAGTCCAAAGTAATTGTTTGGTGGTGTGATGTGATGAATACGAATTGAGCGTAGACTAACGCAATTCGATGCGACTTCCTTAAAAATAAAATTTCTGTGCTTTTAAAAAATATTTCATTTAGTTTATAATGCAAATCAGAACAATAATTTGTAAATCTTTGAATAGGTTCAAACATGTAGAGAGAGCCACACATTTTCGTCCGTTCGATTGATGGTGAGACGGGGAAAGGAAAGGAGGTGCAGCCGGCTTGCCCTGAAGTACGCAGTCATCAGGTCATGCGTATTTCCGGCCACTGACTGGCGATCGTGAGGGTCCACCCTTGACACAGCGCGGGGACATCTCGCGCGAGCAGAGCGGAAGTAGCGTATGCGAGTGCGCCCGCACGCGCGTGTGTGCGTAAGTGTGTGTATGTGTGTGTATGTGTGTGTATGTGTGTGTATGTGTGTGTATGTGTGTGTATGTGTGTGTATGTATGTGTGTATGTATGTGTGTATGTGTGTGTACGTGTGTGTGTATGTATGTGTGTGTACGTGTGTGTGTCTGTATGTGTGTATGTGTGTGTGTGTCTCAAGGAGTAGGGTATAACCCGGAATGCACAAAACTGTCTCAGCTTTTTTTTATCAATCTGAGGCTCCACTGCGTGAAATCGGGTAGTAGCCCGTCCCCCATCGTTGTCCATGAACATTTCATTAATTACTACTGTTTCATTAACTCTTCTATTCTTGGTTCTAATTGGAGCTAAAGCTCCTCAGTGACTCACATATGAAGAAACTAGACCTTTTTTGACAAGGAATTCACGCGTCAAGCGACCTCGTCACTCAGTTTTCTAATAGAACTTGAGTCACAGGCGATGCCTCGCGTGAAACAGGAGTTTTACTCATTTGCGAGAACGTTTCGCTAAGCTTTATTCATTCATTAGACTGCAACTGATAAGGTCATTGACGCCAGTGAATGTTATAACGAGTGGATGATACTGTTAACGAAGATGATGTGAATGATGGAGAGATAAAGAGGAATTATTGGAGAGGGAAACGGGAAAACCCCTAGAAAACTTGCCGACAACACTAGTGTTTTAAACACTCAAAATGAACAGAATGGTTGCAATATCGTACAACATTGCATATTTGCCACTCAGTAATAATTTAAGTAACTTTGACAGTTTTCATCTCACAAACCTAATTATTAATGTCTGTAAGTTCATGTTTAAAATGAGACTGCGGTATAAAAAACTGAAAATGCCAAATTCACTGGTCACCTATTGCAAAACGAAAGGCACCGAGCGTATTCTCTGAGGAGCGATCCGCTGTCGATGAGTGTAGAGGAGCCCAGGTCGGACGAGGGCTGTCCAGGAGGGCTGGAACAACTCTTTGCTTGGAGCTAACGAACGGGGCCGTAAGTAGACTCTTGGGGGCGGAAGGGTAAATTTTCCTCCCTGTTATTGTTGATCATATTCTTAAGAATTGAATTAGTCTGGATTTTTTGTAGAATGAAAAAAGTCGATATGTCTCAATTATATGTGGTTTTTATTCCAGTTTAATTCTTCTGAGAAATAAAAATGGAAATTGAAACACATGCATTGACACAGCTCTAGTAAGACAAGTACTGGAACATGGTTTCATATGTTGAGGCACGCACTGTTTAGGACCAATAAAAACGAAAAAAGTACAAATACACGAAAAAGTTAAAAAAAACAGCAATTTTTGATAGGAAAGGACTCCCCAATTCTGGATTTACCTCTCCGGAATCTTTGGGAAAACGTAGAGCCCGCGACTTTGTGCTTTATTCCAAGCAAAACAAGGTGATCCTCCATGGGCGGAGGTGTGGGTACGATCAAAATCTACACATTTCGCGTAGAAGCATAATGGTTCAAAAACACAAGAAAACAGAACAGATTTAAGTGTTCTTTTGTAAATACTCTTATAACAATACAAATAGAAAAAATAACAAATAATAGAGCTGGTGAGTCCCCCCCCCTCGGGTGTCAAAAATTGGAAAAGTATTTTTAATAAGATAATTGTTTCCTTTCAGAATATATTTAAATTTCAATTAAAATTATTAAATTATATTAATTATTAGTTTTATTATTTTATACTAAGGCATACTACGTCAATGTTAAGTTAGGTTGGATTAGATTTGGTTCATTGATCATTTTTGAAGATGGTTTAGGTCATCAAAATTAGCCCGTAATAATAATAATAATAATAATAATAATAATAATAATAATAATAATAAATTCTTAACATTACCATTCTACAACACACAAGTTACGACAGACTATACCATAGTTCTTAATCAATTCATAGTTCACGTTTACAATTGTATGTTGATACTACTACGTCGCTCGTAAACAAAGAGTCTAAATGAAAACAGAAACATAAACTCAATGTTCTGGAGGCTCTTGCAGCGCAGAAGCCACGCCTTCACACCAAAAACAAAGAAACGAACAAAAAAGAAACAACTAGTGCTAAAACAGCACGTACTTTCTGGCCCGTTCTTTTACGCAAAAGTATGAGAAAAGTACTGATATTTTTGAAAAATTGCACATGACCTTGTTTCAAAATCTATCCTTAAGAAACAGATTTCACTAAGGGAAAAATCTTTTAATTATATAGATTAAATAAATAGATTATATAGATTTAATATTTTAGTAGTAGGAAGATTGCAATAGTTCAATTGTTTTTCGCAATTTTCGCAAAATTATGTTTTTTTAAAAAACAGGAGACCTGTACTATTATCTTAAATAGTCTTCACAATATCCAACAACAAAATTTCACAAAAAATGATGAAGCAATTTTTTTTTTAATTTTGAAAATGTCTCAGGAGCTCCATATAAAGTACCTCCCAAAATTAAAATACCGGTTAGAAATTCAAGGAGTAGCGATATCCACCAGCTCTGTTGGGGAATATCAATTTTGGTGAAAATCATATGAACGGTTTAGCCACTAGGGTTGTTTACAGAAGGACGGACAGACATTTTGCCGTAATTCGATTATTCGGTATAAAAGACTCACAAAACATGGATTCTGGCTTCTCCACGCGTTTGAAGATTATTTTCTAATTTTAGCCATTGGATTTACCCCTTTTTTCGTTATCAAGGCCCTGCAATAAGAGTTTTTCTGCCAAATATTGGCAGTTTTTTCGCGCAGCATTACGTAACTTGTTTTCTACTGCGAAAGTGGAAGCGAGAGAGTAAAATTATTACAAAAGAAACGGACGAGCGCGTCTAAAGGCGGCTCCACGCATGCGGCATTCGGCAAATCCCGAGTAGTGTGTACGGGGTGCTTGCGATTCGCCGAGCGACCAACATTCGATATTCGCCCTACCCACCGCGTGTCGGCTTTTAGGACACACAAAAGGGAGCGAACATTGGCCGAACACATCAGCTGTTCGGGACTGGACGAGCTGCTCGGCGAATGCCGAATGTGAGGAGCCGCCGTAAGGGTCAGGCCGCAATCTCACAACGGGCTCGTCTTGCGGGCCCATCAAAGGCAGCGAGCGGCGTCGGTGAGAGCTGAGCGTGAAGTGTGTCAGGAGGGTCTAGGGGGGGGGGGGGACCATTGGGCGCGGCCGCCGCTGACTCGAGACGCCGCCGCGACGCGCAGGCGGCGCTAGTGGCGCGTGGAGGAGGCGGCGGAAGCGAAAGCAGAGGCCGAGCAGCGACGCGCGTGCGTCGCAGTGCCAGTGTTAGTGCCCGACAGCGCGCGTCCAGTCTCAGACCACACCCCCTCCGCTCGGCTCGGCTCCTCCGTCGACATGGCAGACTTCAAGAACTACACCCGCCCACCCTTCCTCATCAAGGTCCTCGAACTGGTGAGTAGCCCTTCCGCGCACCAGCCAGGCCATTCGAACTTCATTTTCAGAGAAAACTATTGCGTCTTCAACTTACTCCCAACATTTCCATTTGCTGTTTGAAACTGATTCACTTCACTTCGCCACAATTTCGCGGGCGGAGCCTTTCCTTTCTCGGATGTCGCAGCGCCCACTCGCAGATGTCACTCAAACAGATGTCCGAGTTTTCATTTTTCGAATCCTCGCGTCATCCGACGCCCCCTCTCGATGCGTGCGTGGAGTGGAGGCGACGTGTGGGAACGGGGCGCTGCGCGTGTGCTCCCCGCCACGCCCCCGCGCCGCGCCCATCGCTCCGCGCCCCGCCCCGTGCGTCGCGTTCTCCGCTGGCCGCCGTGACGCGCACACACAAATATTCCGTTGCGTCACGCGCGATTCCTACGCGTCGCTGCTGGGGGACTTCGAATCGAGCGGAGCTAACGCAGTTCTGATGCTCAGGGCGAAAACGAAAAAGCAATTCTAGTGTGAACAAGATGCTTGGAACCGGAACCGGTACCGGAACCGGAACCAAGTGAGCACCAGAGTTCACACGGGGCGCTAAGGCGAGGATCACCCTTCGATAGATCGAGGTCCCCTGCTGAAAAAGTAGTTTCTCTTAGGGAAATTATGCTTCCATCCCACTGTGATGCCCAGCTCCCTTCTCGTGTTGCGTCTGGTGAGATCACTGCTTACGTCACGTTTGCCGACAACTGGAATAAATGTACCGGAACAAATACAAATGTTTGCGTGTTATGCAGGCGTCAAAACAATGAGGCCGAAAACAAATACCAATGCAATTGCTACTGTCCCGAACTTTTTGTGACTTTATTATCATAACATTGAAATCCGAAAACTTTAAAAGAAAATTAATTTGAAACATGAATCCACATAAAAAACAAACAGGGAAGTCACAGTATCAATATCTTTTGATCTCGCTACGCGCTTCTCTTCTCTACGCGCTGAAGAATGATTTATAAACCGAGCGGAGAGAAATTAGTTTCCTTCAAATTAAGACTTCGTATTTAGTTCTTACTTTATTATCCAATTTAATTGTACTTCTGGGTCCTAATCGCTCGACTGGGAGTCGTACGACGCTAGAATTATTGCTTGCCTCTCACGGAAATATTTCATGGCTTTCCATAAAAAATTCCGAAGCCGTATATTAATTTAGCTTTGGCTACACCTGTTGGAAGGACTTTCTGACTGCGTTTATTGCTTGTCAGAAAAAAAAACAAATATTTTATTGCACTGATGTTTCTTTGATGTCGAGAATTTCCGATCGTCCAGAATATCCGAGCTGTTAGGTTTCCACACAACCAATTCATTATCACCTACAGACGGCGACATCTGAGTCAACGCCTACTTTTGACTTCAGTCGGAACTACTAAACTGCTGTTTACATGAACTTCACTCCCATTCTCATCTTACAAACGACTACCGCAACCAAGTCTCTCGAAAACGAACACTACATACGTATTAGGAATGCGACATCGATGTTCAAAAACAACGATGCTTCTTTAAAATTAGCAATGAAGATGATGTTTTTTAAACATCGATGTTTTGTTCGTGAATGAAAAATGCTCATAATCATAAATTTGTAAAGGTATACAAAGTACGAACTGACGGTACCACTGTGTTTGTGCTCGAACAAAACGAACGCGTTTTGTATTACCTTTGAGCAGAGTACTATGCGTTGTCCGAGATGATTTTAATGTCCAGGTATTTCCTTCATTTTTTCACATTGGTTTTCGACACATATTTTGCACTTGCAGAGGCGTTTTTAACTTTATCTTCAAATGCATTCCAATTATAAACGAATGTGCTCGGCAACTGTTAAATCATATTTTGTTGTGCCCAAATCTAAGGTTAGAGGATGCCAAAGCAACTTTAGAGCATCGATGTTTGTCAACATCGATCTTTCGTTGTTGATGTCGCATCCTTAATACGTGTCCGCTTACAGCCGAGAGGAGCCGTTCATTTTATGGAAACATGAGCTTCCACACGCTGGGGCGGTCGTCAGCGGAGTCTGGAGTGGGCGTGGCAGAGGAGGCAGCGCTTTGAAAGACTTGACTAAGACAATTATGTCTACTAGTTGTTTTAACAACGCGGCTGTTTGACACTGTCAACGCATATAATTTAAAAAAATATAAACACCAATTTCAAAACTATTTGAAAAACTTCTGACATATTGCTAACTGACGATATCTCGACTATTTAGGAGATCGAGATATGGTTGAATAGTTTCGGCCATCATTCTACAACTTGGTTTTGCGAAAAACGACGTGTCTTGAAATTAAAAGAACACTATCTCTTCTGCTAGCGTTTTCTTACACTTCTGAGGCGTTCGGGTGTAAAAAAATGGTAGGCATATGAAATAGGCGGCTTTGAGGTGGTGCTTTCAAGATTTTTAGCTGAAAGACTTGATTAAAACAATTAGGGTTATTTTTCATGCATTTTAATTTATTATTAATCATGTTTATAGGAAGTATGGTTTATTGTAATAAAGCATTCGTGATGTGCCCAAGATTTCCGTAAACCTCTGCCGGTTTCATCCAGAGTTTCTGGATTATTAAGAAATTCTTCGTGCTCTGGAATTATTCGTCACAATGTTCGGGTCCTAATAACAACACCCAACGCTTTTATATTATTAATTGGTGTTTGAAAGATTTGTACAATTACATTTGCTACTACATTACTGTTGAATAATGATGAGACATTTCTATTTTTAATTTAAAGGAACCAAAAACGAGAAATAATGTCCTTTTTTCGTCTGTTGTGGCCAGTCATGAGCCTCCAAATTTTGTCTTCTGAATTTATAAATTTTTTTATAATGACTTAATGCCACAATATCGTAAGACAAAAGCCATCGCTGATAGCGTTTCGTAGCGTTACGGCAAATGCCAGCCCCAACGAGGGAGAAGATTCAGTTCTGCGGAAGCTGCGCGTCTTCGGAGGCGAGCGACCGCAGCGCCGCGCGGAGGCGAAGTGAACTCCGTCCGCTGGAAATAGCGGCGGTGGCGCCGTGGGGCGACGCCGGATGCACTCGAACTACGCGCCGTTGGGAACATTTGGAGACGCGATGGAGGCTCCCAAAATAAACGCCCATATTGTACACATCTAGAATCGAAACGATTTCGTACCAGAAATCGACGCGTATCTTTCGAACTTTACAACTGAAACTCTTATTTGGGACCATAAACCACATGTCTGACGCGATAATAACCTGTGTGTTTTTATTTTTATAAGTGATAAAATACAACAACTATGAAGGTGGAGGTCTAATACCTAAAAATAACTCAAATCATAAACGACCTTATGATTATTGTAAAAGAAAACATTTACAATTTAAAATATTTGTTTCTTAAAAAAGGCAGTGCAAATTATGGGTTAAAATCAGAATGTCCTTTAAAAAAATCTATTGAAATGGAAAGAAAATAGTTCCAACCAGCGCGGTGGCTCCACCGTTCAGGCACCAGATCGTTTCCGTCTCAGACGCAGAGAAACACCCCAAGATCTCACGGCGCATTCCCGACGAAAACACGTAATTTGATTTTGGGATGAAGCTTATTGTTTCACTACTAATTGACCACAAAAAGCTAAGTCAAAGTAATGAATTTAAAGAGCTTATTGGCATCGTTGTTACAATTCAAATTCTTCAGAAAACTGGAGATACTAAAACTGAACGTACTTTCTTCCTCGAATTTTCACGCAAAATTACGCAAAAAGTATTATTTTTGAAAAATTGTACATGACCTTATTTGAAAATCTAATTTTAAGGAACATATTTTATTAAGAGAAAAAAATCTTTGTCTCTAATTTTTAGTAGTAGGACAACTTCGAAAACAATGTTTAACTTTTTACAATTTTTGAAAAATGAGCGTTTTTATCGAACCGCATTTTTATTCTAAGCTTAGTTAATAGGCGTGGACACTGCTCTAGCTGCAGTACACTGGCCTCACCAAACTCCCCACTCACCCTCAACCTTCCATAGCCTCTCATGCACCAGCTACGGACGGAATAGCGATAGTCCACGATGCTACCCATTCCAAAAATTCATCTCTTTCGCATAATCACATACAAATAAGTTCGTCTTCAAAAATTGCCCTGGTGGTATGCACAAATTATGCGAGTAAATTTATTGCAAGGTGAATAGCGTCCGCAACTTTTCCCGAGGTTGTTTTTTCTAGGGAGCGCGCTGCTGTAGAGCCCTTAAGAAGCAGCCGCCGCTTAGCAAAGGCAAACGCCACCGCCGCGGAATGCGCAAACACCGCTCTATCTCGCGCCGCAAACGCCTGGCTGATTTGCGTTATCGCTTCCACGAGCGCGATTCGGGGAACCAACAGGCGCACACCTCTTCAGCGCCCTCCGCGCTAACTCTTTCCAGGGAGCAACCTCAACGCACGCACAACGCCTTGAGTACTTTTCATACCAGTCATTATTCTAATCCTGTGGCTAGAGTGCACTTCTCACCACAACGTTTTAACACTTCCACCGCTATGCGTGCTTAAGTGCACACAAAGAACCCTGATTTTACTACCGCGTGCGCAATACTGCACACGGAAACTGGCTGTGTGCGTCCGGGCACACATTCCATGTTAAGTTCAATGTAAAATATGAATTCTCCAGGCCTGAAAACATAAGATAGAGTACTTTGACAAAAATCCGGCAACACTATGGCTATTGAATGTTGTTGATAATACTGTTTTGGTTTCTTTCTTCTTCCAATGGTTTACGATTCTCAGCCTATATCTACAGTGCATCATAGTAGGAATTACGTCCTTGGAAACATTTTTAAAGCAGTTTTTGTCCCATTGAATGAAGTTGCATATTAACTCGCAGAAAAATCGAAAGTACGCCGAACAAAGCTGTATTGTTGGATTGCATTGATTTTGATAAATGCAAAAACTGAAACCATTTTTATGTTATATACGATAGATGCGAAACTACCTATTTCGGTCTGCAGCTCAATAAACTTGAGATTGTCT